CTTGCAATCTCAATAATGAACAGGAGTTAAGTAGTTAAGGCAAGGTGAATGTAGAAAACTTTCCATACACAATTAAGAACATATGCACAGGTCCTGAGGTTGGAGTAATGTGAGACCTAAAGGAAATCCAAGAAGCCTGGAAGAAAAGGAGCAAGGGCAGGAGGCTGCTCTGATAAGGTTAGAATCATCTAGAACAACTGGAATCTATCTCAAGAGTGTGAAATATTCTATTAGACTCTAAGAGTAATTGGAATATATTTCAAGAATGGAAGATGTCCATGTTCTAAAAATTGTCTTTCAGGAAAATGTGTGGGCAATAAAATAGAAGGAAGCAAAAATGAGCAAGACAAGCTCATTGAGTTCTCTATTTCAGTCAGACAAAAGGTCATGGAACTTCACATCAGAGTGGTGAGACCTGGGTTGGAAATAATCAGAGGCATTAGGAGATGTTAAGAGATACAATCTTTAAAGTTCTGGTATGAAATGAGAAAGAGGGATGAATTAAGGATAATCATTATTACTGACATATATTAAATGCTTGTTATGAAAAAATCTTATTTTTTCCAATTCTATCTCTCTCTCTCTCTCTCTCTCTCTCTCTCTCTCTCTCTCTCTCACACACACACACACACACACACACACACACAGAGCAAATATGAAGTAGAAATATTATACTCATACTACAAGAACAAAACTAAATAAAGAGATTTTAACTCTAATGGTTGCACTGTGCTAATCTGAGTCCTAGTTTGAATGAATAAATGCTTAGTGGAGTCACTGAAATAAGGAAAGCAGAAAACAGCTGAGATCTAGAGGTGGATCAGAGAGGTTCATTGGTGATCTCAGTTAACTGGAGGCATCTTTGAGATGTCTAATAAAATGTCTCAAAAAGCAGTTGCAATTTGGACCTCAGGAGAGAGGTATATACTAGAGACAGACATTTGTAACAAATCTGTAAATAAAAGGTGTTTCAAACTATCATGTAGATGGGAGTGAATAGATAAGAAATAAGGGAACACATTGAACATTCTTAAGTTCTGTAGAATTAATTTGCTATGTGGAGATGCCAGAAAAGAAGATGGATAAGTAAAATAATAATATGAAGAAATCCAAAGAAGCATCAAATCACCGTTAGTATATGAATAATGGTGCAAAATATAAAAATACAAAAAAAAATTTCTTACTTTGTTACTCATAAGAAGACATCCTGCTGATGACAATCCTCTGTCACCAACACAGTCATTATGAGCTGTCAGGTGAGAGACAGAGGAAACACTGATCCAGCATTTTGCCTTCCTCTTTGCATGTATTACATATTCAGAGAAAGAACTGTTTTCTCCAAGGGATATCCTGATTCTTTTGTTTTACCATTTAGGATACTTCCCAAGCCTACTGTGCCCTGAGATAATTCCT